CAAATGTGTGGGATGGTGAGGCTTGGCTGAAGAGAATTGTGTCATCGGCAAAAAAGAGATGGGAAATTAATGGACCAGAGTGGGAAATTTTAATACCTGACAGAGAGCCTTGGTTAACAGATTTTTTCAGGAGACAAGAGAAAAGCTCAGAAACAATGATAAAGAGATATGGAGATATAGGGTCTCCTTGTCTCAATCCTCTCGTGGGGGTCACGTGCTTACACTTTTGGCCATTTATATTAAATGAGAAGCTAGATGAGGAAATGCATGCCAGAATCCGGTTGATGAAGGTTATGTGGAAACCCATTTTAATCATGACAGCTTTAATGCAAGACCATTCAATTTTATCAAACGCTTTTTCCATATCTAGTTTAAGAGCCATGTAGCATTTATTTCCTGAATTATGCCTATTTAGAAAATGAATGGCTTCTTGGGCAATAACCACATTATCTAAAAGCTGTCTATCATGGATAAAAGCGGCTTGATTCTCACTGATACAAACAGGAAGGCAGGATTTAAGTCTTGAGGCAAGAATTTTGGAAATAATTTTGTAAGCTACGCAACAAAGACTAATAGGCCTATAATGTTCCACTTTTGAAGGGTTCAGAATTTTAGGGATAAGAGTTGTGAAAGTATGGTTCCAGGATTTAGAAATAAAACCAGTATTAAAGAAACTGAAAATAGCTGTGCATAGATCATGCTTAATAATGTTCCAGAATTTTTGAAAGAAGAGTGGAGACATACCGTCGTGACCAGGAGCTTTGTTTGGATTCATACTGTCTAGAACTCTTTTGATTTCCTCTTCATCTACCTTGGCAATTAGACTCGAGTTCATAGATTCTGTGATAGAAGGCTGGATGCAATCAAACAGGGGGTCTTCGATGTTAGGCACCTCACACTCAGAAGTGAATAGCTGCTTGTAAAAGGAAGAGATGCAATCCTCAATATCAGCTGAAGTTTCACAAGTAACTCCATCACCTCTAACAAGCCTACTGATAGCATTTGTTTTCCTCCGTTGAGCTGTGAAAGCATGAAAGAAATGAGTATTCTTGTTTCCTTCCTTAAGCCACCGAAGTCTAGACTTTTGGCTCCAATAAGATTCCTCAGATTTGTTGAGGCTGTTAATGGTTTGCTTCAACTTGTTCCATTTTTTCCAATCTCTGTCATTTCCACTGGCTCTCAATTCCTCCATTTGTTTGCTGGCTTCTTTGATTTGCTTATCTGTTTCTGCTCGAAAATTCCTGCTCCATTTGAGAAGGGCCACTCTGGTCGTGGCAATTTTCCGCTGGAAACTGATCATGGGGAGACCTTGGTGGAAGCAGTTCCATGCTTGCTTGATGGTGTCACTAATGCCCTCTCGAAGAAGCCAACGTTTATCGAAAAAGAATCTTTTTTTCTGATTGGCAGGGTTATTCCCCACTTGAAGGACAATTAAGCTGTGGTCAGAAGAGCTTCGAAAGCAATTTGCAGCATGAGCATTAGGATGAGCTGTAAGCCAATCAAGTGAGGCAAAGAATTTATCGAGCTTCTCTTCAATGCTGTCAGAATTCATTATGCAATTCCACCAGGTGAATTTGTGGCCAGACATTGGAATTTCCTGCATGCCCATGTTGGCTATAAAACTTTTAAAACCCCAGAAACTAGCTTCAGAACGAGTTCTGCCCCCAAATTTTTCCTCATTGCTGCAGATATCGTTCCAGTCACCTCTGATCAACCATTTATCACCCCAACTTCTCTTAGCTTGCTCCAGATAATTTCTTTGATCCTCCCTTTCTCTCAAATTGGTGCTGAGGTATACAAATATCATCCAGGATGTAGTTGCATTAGAGACATGGCTGAACTCAACTTCGATACAGAATTTGTTTAATATACAAAGTAGTAACGCACATTTCGTATAACACAGGGGAGTTTGGTGCAATTTATCCGAAGAAGCACTAATTTAGGTCATCAACACACACAGAAACACTAAGAGTGCTTCGAATATCACAGGAGGGGATTGACTAAAAATTTTATTCATGAGTACAAAATATTAGCTCTTGTATCATACATCACATAATTCTACACTTTTCCTATGAACTTTAGGCAGGGAATGAAAGACTTGTTACAAACTGAAACAGAATTACATTGAGGGTCTAGATCATAGATATAGATTTATACTGCTTTACCGTATTTGTTATTGCTTGTTCAACTGGCAGCCTCTCCAAACTAGACGCACCATAGAATCCATTAACTCCTTTAGTTCTCTTCAATACATATTCTGCATCACTGGGGCCAGATATAGGACCTAGAATTGCACAGCAGAACCATTTTAGTGAACGTTCACATAACGTTCTTTCCTTTCACACGATAAGCGGTTAAGCCGATATTTTTCAAGTACAAACACACGCACATAAACACACACGATACGATAAAATTGATTGTGTGCATCCCATAATCGAAAATGTCATTAGTCGTAAAACTTATTTTACCTCCGTGACACAATACAATAGCATCCGGATTGACCCTTCGAGCAGCATCTGCAATAGCTTGTACACGAGTTACACTTTCCTCAATCGAGACAGCTGTTTTCGCACCAATCGAACCAGATGTCGTAAGACCCATGTGCGCCACGATGATGTCAGCGCCAGCTGTCGCCATTGCTATTGCTTCTTCTTCGTTAAAAGCATATGGGGTTGTGAGGAGGCCCAATTTATGAGCCTTTGCTATCATCTCAACCTCCAAACTGAAGATGGGAACAAAGGAGATCATAAGTACCAAAGACAGGAGTGAGGAGAATTCACCAAGTCTACTAGTTTTACCTATATCCCATTCCTGTCTCTTCTAAGTTTTGTCTGAAATTACCATCAAATAGCCCAACAGTTGGAAAATTTTGCACCCCTGCAAATCCGATAGACTCCAGTTGCTTCAGGAAGAAATCCATCATTCGGAATGGGTCAGTAGCACATACTCCAGCCAGAACAGGGACTCGTTTTACTACCTAAAACCTCAGAACAGAAAAAAGAAGAATACAGTAGCAAAATCAGGTAGCATTTTTTGTTTCGCCAGAGCTCACAGAAGTTTGCATAATCAATAGAAACGCTATAAATAATCCACGCAACATATATACAAGTTTTCAGAGACAAAGGAAACACCACCTTTTGTTTTGACCTCATCAAATTAAATCAGTTGATTGAGTTTTCAATTCATCTCTACTAAATTACTCAAAGAATCTGAACATTTTCACTTTGGGATGTCATAAATACAAAATTTACAAGTAAATTGGATAGTTACGATGTCACACGATCAGCAATAATGTTATTTACTCGAAGAGTCAAAGGTACGACAGCGATGATGCAAATAAGATCAAATTCTTTTTACAACTTTCAGAATGCCATATCTTATACATACACCACATGTCAAAACAATTGATATTTTATACCCCTTGAATGACACAACATAAGAATTATAGCATGTATTATATAACAAGTCCAACATATTCACAAAGCTACTTAAAATTTGAAAGATCGTCTCATTATGAGCTTCTAGCCAAAGCAACCAATGCACGGAAGGTCTCTACATACAAATGAAACACTTACAGGCAACACCTCATTGGCCATGTCAAGTACAACTGCATTTGCATCAGCAAATGGCAGTAAGCCTGCCAATGATCCTCTTCCTGCCATCCTGAAGCGTCCTGAGTTGTACACGACAATCAGATCCACTCCACCAGCTTCCTCAAACTTGGCAGATATGCCTGTCCCAGCTCCGGCACCAATAATAGGCTTCCCCTCTTGAATTTGATACATTAATTGACTTAGTATATTATGTCTCCTCTCTAGTGTTTCTGTTCAAAACCAAAAAATTCTTATATCAATTAAAAAACAGAAGGCTAAAAGAACAGAAGTTTTTACTTCGTTGAAAATACCACTATCCTCACAAAGGTCTATCCACCATTATCTAACAAATAAACGGCTATGAGATGATGATGCAATTAATTTTCAGATTAAAAGTTCAGAAAATAATACTACGTGAACTAAGAATCAAATACGGAACATGTCTAATATTTAGATACTGAATTTGCTGAATCGCTAGAGAAATGACACAAGGACACAGTGTGTGTCATAGATTCCATGTCAAGCATTCAACAGCCGGAAAAACTTCTACCCATAAAAGCAATTGATGTTGTGTAATTGTGTATGAAGATACATGAAGCATTTTCAAGCGCCCAGTTGTCAAATGGTCTAATTAACACATGTTGGATAACCCATGCAACTGAACCCAAATAAATAACTTGGCTTGTGGACTATTTAACTGATAAGATGGATTCGTTGAGTTATTCATAACTTTTACAAAAGAATTCCTGCATAAAACTGGCATTGTCGTTGATTTTACCAAAGATGCATTGTGCATCTATATTTAAAAGCCAATGCATCTACCTAGGGGTGAAATAATTGTAAAAGAATAAGAACACTAAAATAGATCAGGAAGAGGTTAAGACAAGAAGAACCTGGTTTTGCATCAGGAAAGTTGCTCAAGCTATATGAAATAGGTACAGTCCTTGAACTTATGTCAAGAGTTTTGCTCTCTGAGACTTGGCTATATTGAACTGTAGCTGGACTCCTATTACACGTTAAGTTCATAGAGATCTCCAAGAATGAGTCAACTAGTGCATTAGCAAACTCCATGTCATTAATGTGATGTGGAAAAACTTTGACCTATGAACAAACAAAAGTTATCCCTGAACACGTAACTGGCATCAAACCTAGCAAATAGGCAACGCTCAGGAGCATCAACAATTTATATGATGAGCAGAGATTGAACCTTTCGATAATCATTTGATTCAATAAGCCTCTGCATTTCCACTATAAGAGCACCAGTAGCATCAGGGTCATAGAAGGCCTTGCCTGGTGCATCCAATCCAGAGACACCCATCTTTGGCAGGCAAACACAAACCTTAGACGAAGACTTATTTAACTTTTCCGCAATAAATGCAGCAAATCTTTTATTTTCATCTACTGTAGTTCGCATTAGTGTAACCTGAGAAAGAAACACCACAGAGGAACATGAGTGCGTTTCACATTTAACATTTATTATAATTAGATCCAAAACATCTCAATGGAGGGAACAACCAATGAAAAGATTTGAGCAAAAAATTCTGTTATGCAGGCAACAATGAAAAATCCTGATCAAGCACTATGGTTAAAAATGTGACCTAAAAAATTAAATACCTAAGTACTTTACATCTATGCTCCGCACTATGTTAAGAAGCTTTAACACTAACAGCAGTTTTAGATAGTTTACAAAATAAGTTGATGATGTGTCAGAGGATACATAGGGAACGGGATAAAAGGAATGGCTGAACTATCACCTGGTCATTGTGTTCATAAATCTTCCTGCCCTGAAATTTCAAGGGTATGGTATCTTTTGGTCCAAAGTTCACCATGTCCAATGCTCCAATACTGAGAACTATAGGTATCTTCTTTTCTAACATGGAATCAAAACGGGAACTTTCACATGCCATGACTCCTCCAACTATATAATCAGCCACTTCAGTTGTTGTGATATCCAATACACCCTGTGGGACGGAAAGATGTGAACAATTATTATAATCCATCCACAACCAAAAGTTTTAGTCCACACCAAAATCCATTGAACCTGAGTGAAGTGGCAAACTGATCAAGTATCTTCATTCATTGACAACGTAGCAAACCAACACTATATATTCCAATATATATTTCATCTGTGAGTTCACTAGTTTAACGTTTATTATAGTAATTAATTATGACAAGAATTTCTGTGCTAGTTGAATTATCTGTAACATACCCAAGTTATATTATTCACGTTTCAACAGCCAAATCCTCTCTACTTCATTGTCCACCATTAAATTGAAAGAGGTATAATATAATCATGGTGTGCACAGCTCACATCAATAAGCTCAGACTTGCAGATTTGATTTTTCTTTTAAGAGAGCAAAAACAAAAAAAAAAAAAGTACAAGGAAGAAGGACATAAAATAGGTGAGATGGAGAGTTAAATTTTACGTGGATGAATAACCTGTATAAATCCTCCTCTAACAAGGTCCTCCATAGCTCTCCCCCCAACCCCAGTAGCATGAAAAACCAAGGTCTCATACCCTTCTCGACTCAATCTCTCCTTTACAGCATCGACACACGGAGTGGTAACCCCAAACATAGTTATACCGACTGTCCCTTTCTCACCACCATCACCAACAGTGGGTTTTTTCAACATTTCAAGATTTCCAAGCACCATCCCAGCAAAAGCAGCACCAGAATTTGAAAACACAGCCCTACTCACGCTGTTAATCCCACAAACATCCACCACAGATGGAAATAACACCAAATCAGATGTTCCAATATAGGGTTCAGTCTGGCCACTAGCTACAGTTGACACAATCACTTTGGGGATCCCAACAGGGAGAGACCTAAAGGCCGACGACATTAATGATGTCCCTCCACTTCCCCCAAGACCTATAACTCCAGCGAGAACACGATCAGCGTGATATTTACTGATGAAGATCTGAAGTGCTTTGCTCATAACGGCAATGGCTCTGCCTCTATCATCTGGGAGATGGGTTTCGTGTTGCTGTAAGCAAGAGAGGACTTCTTTTCTCGACACGAATCTGAAATCTTCGAAATCCGTGACTTCTTTTTCGCTAACTGAGACATCTATGACCGTCACCACTAACTGCACACATACGAAACAGAGTGGGTGAATTCGACAATAATTTCACCTCGAACTCTATCATCATCCAAGTCTTCATCTTGACAATACCCAATACAACTATACACAATCCAAGCAAACAAAAAAACTGGCATCATACACATCAATACATCATGCTTCTAAAAATTAAGATAAACAACAAAACTGCCCCCCGTAGACAAGCAACGATATGCTAATTCATCTTACACAGGACATGGAAACATTATCAGGACAAGCATTAATTTCGTAACGAGAAATTTCATACACAAAAAGAACAAATTATCACCTGTGCTGATGCGTTAGCTGAAAAAAGTAGGAGATTGGATCGAACAGATTCGGCGAGGAATCGAAGTTCCTCAGACTTTGTATCAGCAGTTCCGATGCAGAAGACATGGCGCATTGTGTTCCCCTGAATCGACATTTTTTCAAGAAATTATTGCATCTGAAAGAAGAATTATAATAGGGGTTTGTGGACGTGAGTACTGAGTAGTAGTCAAGTGAGTGATTCGATGTGAGAATTAGGACCCTCGGACCGATTGAATTTCGATCTGTAGGAGCATCTGCTGAGGATCAACAAAATGGGTAGCTCGGGCAGTATGAACAGGCAGGATAGCCCAAATGGGCAGACTTGAACAATAAAGTAGTATTATGTTCGTACGTAAAAGAGTGAGATATGCCTTGAATTATATTAGACTCTCTGCATACATCTACATACCGCACTTCATCTTCTACAAGTGTTAACTTAAACATTTGAAACTTTTCAATGAAAAATCTCTCCGGTGTGAGAGTTCTGTAGGTCCAAAATCGTTCAACCAGCAGAAGAGCTCAGCCAGTCGGACGTCTTTGACGTACCATTTAGGATCAGGGGAAGTGCCTTCCGGAGATGAAAGGGGGTTAGAGGTGACCCGATTGGCTGTTTCTAGTGGTTGTCGAGCTTCGAGTTCAGCGATTTGCTTTTTGTGAGAGGATCTACTTGGATTATTTTCAAAGGATCCTTTACTTGGATTATTTTCAAAGGATCCTTTTGGTAATTTGCTGAGAAGGTCTTCAGATTTACTGCCCAACCAATTAAATACCAAGCGAATATTGGAACTCATGCGGGCATGGTTATCACCCATTATTTCGCGATCTTTGGAATGGTTAGGATGACTGAGGGGTTGTTTTCTTTTCCCTTATCAAGGGCCCCCATTCTCTCCTTGGATTGGAACTCATGAGATAGTGGATTCTGTTTGGGGCAAGATTTTGATAGGGAGTGTGAGGATGAGTATTTTTCGGGAGGACTATTATGCAAGATTTGAGAAAAAAAGTCAGTAAGGCCTTGGAAAAAAGCAAATTTCCAATAAAAGATCGATATCATCGAGATGAGGAAGTGTTGTCCTTGTTGGTTTGAAGTGGGACAAGAGCGTTACATCGTTGGATCTAGTTAGGACAAGGTAGATTCACCGAAAAATTAAATCTCCCTCCTTCTACTGCCAATTTGTTGACGAACGATAGCCAATGTTCCTCAATCACGGGATCAAGGGAGGTGGGGATTTGATTATATAATGGACCAATGTGATTTATATCGGATTGGATGAACATGGTAGGTAAAATGAAAAAAAAAAAAGTAAAGAACACGTGATTTCTCCTAGAGTATAACCAACAAGTAGCTCTAATCTAAGCTAGGTGCTCGTATGTTGTTATACTACTGTGTATTGATGTTTACTAGTGTTTGTTTTTATGTGTGTATCACGCCTCCATTGTGTCTGTGTACATTGAGGTGTTGGGGGTCATAGGTGAAAAAAAGATAGAATGTAATTATAGCTTATTGCCAGTTTGATGGCTAGTTGAATGACGTGTGGTGCCATGCAGGAATTCGTCTTTTCATAATAACACATATTCTTCAAATTTGCAAGACACGACCGATTGAGCAGCGAAACAATGCCTTTTGGGCGGTGGTTCACTGTCTTCAGCGACTTTACGAGTTTGGCCTTTTAGAGAGAGTTCATATGCTGCAGAGCGATCGACACTTATCAATATTTACAATTGGGTCATCGACAAATTCTCTTTTCATGTTTGGGCCTGTAATGAGGAGTTTTGTAGGTTACATGTGCCTTGCTTGGACGTTGGGAATTTCGTTATTAATAGGTGGTGTTGCCCTACTAACTTTACAGGTTTTCTTGTGATGCTTTTGTTGTGGTATCATCCCAAGATCATAAACATAATTTGAGAGAAAAACACGTTTCTATTACTCACAAGAATAAAAACAAGAGATTTACAAACTCTAAACTAAAAACTCTCAAACACTCCACAACTCTTTCTTGGTTGTGTTTCAACACTCTCTAGGTTGATTGATCGCTCAAGGATGATTTGAATAAATGAAATAGCAAGCCTATTTATAGGCATGATAACCACACTTCCATTGGCACACCACCATTGACATGGTGTGTGAAAAGAGAAGGTTTGGTGGAGGACTTCTTCAATGGTGGGCTTGCATGGTAGGTGAAAGGAAGATGACACACCAATGGAGAATTCAACATTGGTGTTCTTGCATGAAACTTTCAATTCTCCCCTTTCCATGCAAGTTCTGAACAAGCATTCCTACTATGTCCCTGCATAGCTTAAGCTTGTCCAATGTAACAACTTTTGTCAACATATCTGATGGATTCTCCTTTGTATTGATCTTCACTAGTTTCAACAGCTGTTGATCAATCTTCTCGCGTATCCAGTGATACCGAACATCAATATGCTTTGTGCGGGCATGGTACATAGAGTTCTTTCTTAAGTCAATAGCACTTTGACTATCACAATATACATTGTACTCTTTCTGCTTAATCCCGAGTTCTTGGAGATAGCGCTTTAGCCACAACATTTCTTTACTAGTTTCAGCGGCAGCAATATATTCAGCTTCTGTTGTGGATAAAGCAACACACTTCTGCAATCTTGATTGCCAAGAAATTGCTCCCCCTGCAAAAGTGTAGACATATCCCGAAGTAGACTTTCGACAATCGATATCTCCGGCCGTATCAGCATCAGTATATCCTTCCAAGACTGGATAAGCTCCCCCGTAACAAAGACATAACTTAGAAGTACCCTTCAAGTATCTGAGAATCCATTTGACATCCTCCCAATGCTCCTTCTCGGGGTTAGAAAGAAAACGACTCACTACACCCACTGCATGAGCAATATCTGGCCTTGTACACACCATTGCATACATCAGACTTCCAACTGCTGAAGAGTATGGCACTGCAGACATCTCCCCCATCTCTTCCTTGGATGTTGGACATGATCTTTTGCTCAACTTGAAATGATTCGCAAGTGGAATACTCACTGGTTTGGCATCACTCATATTGAATCTTTCAAGTACTCGTTCAATGTACTTCTCTTGAGATAGCCATAACTTGCCATTCTCTCGGTCTCGAGTAATCTGCATCCCAAGAATCTGTTGAGCCTTTCCTAAATCTTTCATATCAAAAGACTTAGAAAGTTCTTTCTTCAGCTGGCTTATCTTCTCTGCATCATTTCCAACGATCAACATGTCGTCGACGTACAGTAGAAGAACTATGAAAACTCCGTCTGAGTATCTTTTGATATAAACACACTCATCTGCAGTAGTCTTCTTGTAACCTTGACTCTTCATGCATGAGTCAAACTTCTTATTCCACTGCCTTGGTGCTTGCTTCAGGCCATACAAGCTTTTAGATAGCTTGCACACGAGGTTCTCACTTGAAACCTCAAAACCTTCTGGTTGTGGCATATAGATTTCTTCATTCAAATCTCCGTGAAGAAAAACTGTCTTCACATCCATCTATTCAAGCTCCAATTCATACTTGCTGCCAAGCCAAGTATGACTCGAATTGAAGTCATCTTGACAACTGGTGCAAAGATCTCGTCAAAATCAATCTCTTTCTTCTGCTGAAAGCCTTTGACAACTAATCGAGCTTTGTGTTTCACCACTTGTCCATTTGCATCTTTCTTCAGCTTGAACACTCATTTGTTTTTCAAAGTCTTTTTCCCTTCTGGAAGTTTAACTATCTCATAAGTTTGATTTTTCTGCAGAGAATCTAACTCTTCCTGCATCGCAGCCATCTATTTTTCTTTATCCTTATGAGATATGGCTTCTTGAAAACTCTATGGTTCTCCATCTTCTGTCAATAGAAGGTATTCAGATGATGAGTACCTTTTTGATGGTATATGACCTCGTTCAGATCTACGAGTGGGTAGAACCATCTGAGAAGAACTTCCAACATTGGTGTCTGGCAAAATGGGTTGTGGCTCCCCTTGCTCTGGCAAGATGGATTGTTTCTCCCCTTGCTCTTGCAAGATGTGTTGTTGCTCCCCTTGCTCTGCACTCTCTTCTGTCTCCTCCTCTTCTTCTGGTACATCATCTTCATTGTTTCTCCGGAACAATTATGGTGCTTCATCTGAAACTTGAGCACCCACATTTGACTTCTGAGACATCTTGGGCTTTTCGATATCTTCTATTGTCAAATTTTCTTAGAACACAACGTCCCTACTTCTGATCACATTTTTATCCTTTGGATCCCAAAATCTGTATCCAAACTCTTCATCTCCATAACCAATGAAAATGCATGGGATGGACCTCGCATCGAGCTTCTTTCTGAGCTCTTTGGATACATGTGCATATGCTACACAACCAAATACTCTAAGATGTGAGTATGTCGGATCCTTACCAGTCTATATTCTCTCTGGAACTTCAACATTTAATGGAACTGAAGGTGATCGGTTGATCAGATAACATGCGGTTTTGACAGCTTCTCTCCAAACTGGCTTTGGTAATTTAGCCATATTCATCATGCTTCGGACACGCTCCATGATAGTCCGATTCATTCTTTCAGCAACACCGTTGTGCTGAGGGGTACGTGGTACTGACTTCTCATGTCGAATGCCATATGTCCTGCAATATGCATCGAACTCTTTGGAAGTATACTCGCCTCCATTATCAGATCGGAGACATTTTAGCTTCTTTCCTATTTCACGTTCCACCATGACGTGAAATGACTTGAAGTACTCAAACACCTGGTCCTTCGTATTCAGAAAATATACCCACACCTTTCGGGAAGCATCATCAATGAAAGTCAGAAAATATCTGCTTCCACCCAGTGATTCAACCTCCATCGGACCGCAAACATCAGAGTGTACCAAGCTTAACAACTCTGATCTCTTTGTTGAACTTGTATTGGATGAGACTCTATGCTACTTGCCGAACAGGCAATGACTGCAAGAACCCATCGCCGCACTCTTATCAACTTTGATAAGATCCTTCTTCATCAGGGTAGTCAGCCCTTTCTTACTCATATGGCCGAGTCTCTGGTGCCATAGATCCTGGGAAACCTCCTCTGCAACATTGAGACTTTCTGTACTGATCTTCAAATGTGTTTTGTACAGCGTCCCACAAACATGTCCTCGGGCATTTTTCAGAACACCCTTTGACAACTTCCATGTGCCTGCGCCAAAGTGATTTTTATATCCTTCTTTGTCAAGAGCCACCACTGACAAAAGATTCAGCCTAAGATCTGGCACATGCCTGACATCCTTCAACAAGATTGTACTCCCGGTTCCTGTCGTTGCCTGGATATAACCAATTCATGCAACTTGAGAGGAGCTGGAATTTCCCATCTTCACCGATCCAAAGTCTCCACCTTGGTATGTTGTGAAGTATTTCCTGTTGGGAGTAACGTGATAGGATGTTGCAGTATCTACCACCCATTACATGTCTTCTCTTGAGACATGAAGGCATGTCTCACCATGGTTAGAGCAATATGCTACATCACTTGAGACAGTGATGAGAGTTTCACCACCCTTGACCTTGTTCTTCTGCTGAGAACTATTCTTCGGCTGAGAATTGCTCTTGCCCTGCTCCTCGAGCCATTTATAGCAATTCTTCTTCATATGACCTTCTAGACCACAATGATAGCACACATGTGATCTCTGATCATCTGATTGCCTCCCCTTGCTTCTACCCCTGCTCTTCCCTATATCGCTTCTTTGGTTCTTGCCTTGTGGTCTTCCTCGATTCTCCATCACAAGGGCATGGGTCTGATCTGTGCCCATGTCTTTCCTTCTTGCCTCTTCATTGAATAAGGCATCCTTGACAACGGACATGGAAAGTTTGCCGTTTGAGGCTGAGTTGCTGAGAGTAACAACGAGTATTTCCCAAATATCAGGAAGGGAACTAAGAAGTAGCAGAGATTGCATTTCATCTCCAAGCGGCATCTCCACACAAGATAGCTGATTTACCAGGCTCTGGAACTCACTGGTATGCTCGGCAACAGAAGTTCCACTTTTCAACTTCATATTGACTAAGCGCCTCATCAATAAGGCCTTATTCCGAGCGGTCTTGGCTTGGTACATGTCCTCCAGCTTCCTCCAAAGGACATATGCGTCGGTTTCTTGTGCAACATGATGGAAGACACTATGATCAATCTATTGTCGGATTTGACCAATAGTTTTTCTATTGATTTTCTTCCATTCTAACGCCTTGGACGGATTAGGGTTAATACCCTTCAGCTCTATTGGATCAAAGAGCTCTTTACAGCTGAGGAAATCTTCCATCCGAGGTTTCCACAGCGTATAGTTGGTAGCCGTGAGCATAATCATAGCTCCAGAAGATGAAGTTGACTCTTCCATGGCCATTTTATACCTTCAACTATCTGTTTGGGACAAATCGGAGCTGAATTTCGAAAAATAGACAGCACTGTTGCGTCCGGAACAGTCGAAAATAGGGGGGAGTAATTTTTTTTCGATGACGTGGCAGTCAACCGATGACGTGGCAGTTGACTAGGACTGCTGACTGGGCAAGTGACTGGACTGCTGACTAGGCAGCTGACTGGGCCCTCCTTGCTGACGTGGAGATGACGTGTCAGATGATGTGGCGACACATCATCATATTCTTCCTCAAGATTTTTTTTTTTCAGAACTTGCGGAGGCTTTTCGGGGTAGCTCCGGTGTCCGTTTTTCGCCCGTAAGATATCACCGCGACCATCTCGACGAGACGAATCTAACGGTGTCCTCGAACTTGAGTTTCGAGCACAACTCAAAAACTCGAAATTTCTACAGAAGCTCGGAAAAATTCAAAAATAAGCTCGAAAGCTTCAAACCAAGCTCTGATACCACTTGTTGTGGTATCATCCCAAGATCATAAACATAATTTGAGAGAAAAACACGTTTCTATTACTCACAAGAATAAAAACAAGAGATTTACAAACTCTAAACAAAAACTCTCAAACACTCCACAACTCTTTCTTGGTTGTGTTTCAACACTCTCTAGGTTGATTGATCACTCAAGGATGATTTGAATGAATGAAATAACAAGCCTATTTATAGGCATGATAACCACACCCCCATTGGCACACCACCATTGACATGGTGTGTGAAAAGAGAAGGTTTGGTGGAGGACTTCTTCAATGGTGGGCTTGCATGGTAGGTGAAAGGAAGATGACACACCAATGGAGAATTCAACATTGGTGTTCTTGCATGGAACTTTCAGCTTTTATAATATATGCAACAAATAATAAATTTGCGAAAAACAAAATAATTATTTAAGAGAATGGAATGATTGAGTAAATAATGACAATTTTTAAAAACTAATTGACATTAAAAAATGTTCAAATTATAATGAGAATTAAGGATGGTAACTATTAAAGTATTTAATACTAATTCTCTATCCTTAGGTTATATGGTTTTCATACAAGATGTAATGTCTATTTGAGCCTTGTTACAAAGCATGAAATGCTGCCACATAAGATTACGAAACGTGTGAGTTTGTCAATTAAACTCAACATGTCCGAAAATTATATAAAGAAATGAGAAATTGAGAAGTCAAACGCACAAATAATAAAGACATGACACAGTTTCATACTTGTATTTATTATTTGTTTTGTTGTTCTAGTCATATGACCTTATAAATGCCAGTTAAATTTCAAGTTGCACCAACATTCAAGAGCAAAGATAAAAGGTAAGAAAATGAGCAATTTGTGTTCTTTGTCACATAAATGCCATATAAGCATCACAAGTTTCATATTTTACAGGACAACTTTGGCTTTCATCATTTGCTCTTTTATTCAACCAATTAAACTCTTGTTTCTAGAGATCTCCAAGAATGAGTCCACCAGTGCATTAGCAAATTCCAGGTCATTGATATGGTTTTCAAACACTTTCACCTACATATTAGTGAAACAAATATGAGTTACAATTATACTAAAGCAGAGCATATATGAAAAGAAAAAAAAAAAATGATTTTGTAATTAGATTGGGATCCAAGAGATCGACAATCATATATATGTCGTACCTGGCGATCTTTGCCTGTTTCAATTAGGGATTGCAATTGCTCTATAAGAATGTCGGTCGCATCAGGGTCATGGAACGCTTTGCCAGGTGCATCCATGGCAGAGATTCCGAATTTGGGCAGACAAACACAAACTTGTGACGATGACTTGTTTAACTTGTTCGCTATAAACGCTGCAAACTTCTTATTTTCTTCCATTGTAGTTCTCATTATCGTTATCTAGATTCCACACAAACTAACCATGGTTAACTCGTGTGAATGGCTAAACTGCAAAAAACTATCCGAGACGTCTAACATTATTATGATTCACGAGTACTCTCATTGATTCAAAATTCTGAGGCAAAAGCCTAATGTTGTATCTTTTATTTATAAAAGAAATGTGAATTAAGATGTTTATGCAATAAGATAGTCTCAAGTCTCAAAATTTAGTGTAAATCATTCTTGAAACAAACTGAACAAATTTTGATGTAGAGAACTAGGTAATGGACATTTTGTATAGTAAATTATCACCTGCTCATTGTGCTTATGAAGCTTTCTTTGTTGAAATTTAGAGGGAATGGTTTCTTTAGGACCTAAAGCCACCATATCAAGCGCCCCTACACTTAGAACAAGAGGTAGCTTCTTCTCTAATATGGCATCAAACCGGGAACTATCGCAAGCCATAATTCCTCCAACGATATAATCCGCAACCTCAGTCGTTGTAATATCCAAAACACCCTACAAAAATCCAGAATGAGGAGAAAAATACATTAGTCATGATTTCCATCTACAAAAGAAAGTAAACCATTATTTTTATTGTTTTTTCTTTTTTTTTTCCATATACCTGTATGTGCCCTTCTCTAACAAGGCCCTCCATAGCCTTCCCTCCAATCCCACTTGCATGAAAAACCAAGCATTCGTAACCTTCGCGCTCCAATCTCTC